CGGAGAATATTGACTGTATATGGAGGGATGGGGAAGGGACTAAAATTGATCAGCGCTCTCTGGTGACAACATCTGGTGACGCTTAATCATTCGGTTAATTGATGCGACGTTCATGGAATTTCCCGCGTGATTTTATGAACAGAATGATTGATTTCTGTCGGCCGGCGAGTTTTAATGCCGATGGAAAATTTCACGGAGGATTAACGGGATATCGTCGTCTGTTCCGGACGGTCTATAATTCAATCAGTGATAAGACAATCCGCCGAAATAGAAACCCACCCTTCTTTCATCCCAATTAATAAACAAAATGCTGTGATATACGGGGGATGGTAATGACAAAAGCTGACTCGTTTTTCATCGCGGGCATTCATATAAATCGTTAAGACTGAACGACGCGATTTATTAGCAATAAAATCGGCTCAACTATATCGTTGATATATGCGGAGGAACAATCGATTAATAACTCAACAATCTTCAATACAATAAGTGATGTAGATCGGTGTCTTTTGAAATTTTCGAAAATTATAAAAAATAGCGGGCAGAGAATAACGCCACTTGCAATTAATTTTGAAATAATATAATCATCGTTGTCAGTGAAATAAGCGACAAAAAATTGGGACGAAAACATTGGACAATTTTCAGTAAAATATTGTGGATGTACTAATAATTCATGTTCGTGCAACATCCACGAAAGTTATGAGATAGTCGCAATTCATATTTCCGAGAATAGGATTTATCATCGCAATGAAAATTTAATACTATTATCACAATCAGAATATTAATTAAATACATAATGTTAATACCATTGTTAAATCTGATTAGAAAGAGTTAACATGTATCATCATCATTATCCAAGTAACTACGGTGAAATTAATTTCTTTTTTTCTTTTTTCTATTAGTAAGATAAATATGTTGAAATTGCAAGCTTTTCACACGATGTGCAGCCAGAGGTGCGTTCCAATAGCGGTCATTTTATATCAGCAGCCATTATCCGGAATCGCTTAAATCTCTCTGGCTTTTCCAAGCGGCTAAATTCGTCTTTCGCCAGCTGTTAGCCGATCGATAGATCCTCTTTTTCGAGCAACGACGTTCTAATCTGCATTTCGAAATTAAGATCCCACGATACCGTTCCGCGTCCGGACGAATTCAAGAGATATCGAGATGCTGCAAAAGACTCGTTAAGTCTAAAAGAAGCATTCTGCACTCTGTCGATAATGTCGGTCTTTTCAATGTAAACGTTCGACGGAGATGCAACAGCGGCGGGGCGGACTGCCGAGTAAATTTAAATTCAGATGGATATTTTAAAGTTCGAAAATGTTCTTTCTTTCGTTTTTTCGAACGTATTTGCGTATTGAACAGGTTGAATTCCAGAGACTTTGTAATTTTAATTTTTCTGAAATTCTTTCTGAAAAACGTACCGGGCAATCGGAGAACTGTCAGCGTTTGGATCGTTTGGAAGTTAGAAAAGAAAGATTCGATACGAAATAAAAATTTGTCAACGAAACGGCAGTATTAAACGTAACAAAACTCGAGTGTTAGGGAATTTCATTTTCGTAGAAATTGAAATTTTAGTCGCCGGGGAATTTGAACCTATTCAGATGACTTAAATTCACCGCTGATCAAAATTTCCAATTTCCTACGAAACTTTTGTCACGCGACGGGGGTTTCAAGCTAGTTAACGTCGTTCCGCAATATCCTATGACATAAAACTCGCGCTCCCATCTATCAATTTACAAAACCAATTTTTAATTTTAAAAGAGAATTTCCTCTAGAAGATATTAACCTGGATATTAACCCATTCGATGATAATGATTAATTTATTTCACGTTTATCGGTAACAATTTGTCACTGGACTTTTGTCCAAGTCCAAGTAAAACTTGGAAATTTTCTTCGAGAAAATGACTTGTTAGATTCATTGAATATAGGTTAGGATTATCAAGTGGCCCTCGTCTAGGAATACTGCCAACGTCTGAGCAAATAAAAGCTTTCAGTACATACCGCTCATCTACTTTGGCCAATGTCCAGCGTGAAATTATTTAGTTTCACGCTAGGAATTTTTTGGAATCTCGAAGTTCGGAACAATAGAGGGGAAACTGAAAAAGATACAAGTGTTTCGTCAATAAATCCTCGTGTTTTCATATTATTCGATTTCACGATTTCAACATTATTATGTCTGTTTCATTAGAACCTCTAAGACTGAGTTTTGGAGTTGTCGCCAGCTACAGGCAGTTTTTAGCTTTCTAATTTATTGAAGATGAACTTTGGCAAAATTCGAGGCTGGAGATTATTTATTAATTGCAGAATATTTTCTCAAAAGTGTTGCAATCAATTTAAAACTAATGAGAAACTACCTAGTTTAACAAAGAATCCTTTAGATATTATTATTTTTCAATTTCTTCAGATATAGAAATTGGAAATTAGAAATTATCAAACATTTTATTTGCTCTTTTTTTTTT